TGACGCTCTGACGTTTCCCGCAAGACTCGTTTGAGTCACCGGCGCTGTCATATGTTCCCTTAAAATCGACGTAAATTCGCATACTATGGTAAATTGGGGTCCTGAACACGCGTATAAATTTTATAATCTAGCGCTAGAATAGATAGTGCCTGCGCCATCTTGACGCCATTCTTTTTCATGGAGTTCGTTGTTGATCTGACAGTAATTGCTGCTCCTGATCACGGACACATTATTCAGTTGTTTGGCGTCGACACCATTTAGCGCTGTGCTAAGGCTGCTTGAGATGATCCATTTACCTCAAGCTCCGCCTTACCTTAGCCGGGCGAAGACGGCTAGAGTCCCTGGGTAAGCTGCGGCGCCACCGTAACGCACCGGCACTTATTTGGCATCAAAACAAAAGAGGCCGGCTCCGAAATCAAGAGTCATATCGATGTTCAGGGCCGAAAATAACACCAGTTTGAATGAGTAGATTAATTTTTATGGAAAAAGGTGATGGTGTCAGGTTCGCGCCTATTGGCGCGAAATGGTTGAAAGCGAAAGTTGCTTCCGCGATCTGAACACTGATTAACCACTGTGAAAATCAACAAGTGCGCTTGGCACTATTTGGCTGGGGGCATTCTTTTACTTCCGGTATTTTCTTTTACTCGTTCGTATTAAGTACTCGCCGTATTTTGCTAACAGCTGTGATCGATGGAAACCAGCAAAGGGCGCAGTTCGGCGACGGGGGGCATTTTGCACTTTTGCTGCTTCACTAGTTCCGGTTTACAAGTCTCACTCTGGTGAAACCTGTGAACTCTTGTGAAGCTGGAGCAAGCTCGTCAAGCCATCATGGTAAAACCTGTCAACTCGAAAAGGCTCTCTAGAATGGTCGCCAAGTCGGAATTAGCAAAAGTGTAGAATCTCCCCCCCGTCGCCGAACTCCCCCCCCCAGCAAGGTGCCCTCACCAAGCCGAACTACACGATTTTTTTCAAGATTTCGGGGTCAGCAGCAGTTGAATAGCGTTAGGGTTTCTCAAGGTCGGTTTTGGACTGACAGTTTATACTTTCCAGATGTGCACAATGTTTCGAACCATTCCCCGATGGTATATATTTCGAATTCGAAGGCAGAAAGTACTGTGAACACGACTTTCATGTACTGTACGCTCCTTGCTGCGGAAAATGCAGTAAGTCGGTCTCTAGGAAATTTCTCTGCATCCTCCAACCACTGAGTCATTCTTGATCTTTTCAGATGAGTTCATTATTGGTCGCGTGATCAAGGCTATGAATGCCAGTTGGCATCCAGATTGTTTCCGTTGTGAACTCTGCTCGAAAGCACTAGCCGATATCGGTTTTCTAAGAAATGCTGGAAGGTTAGTGGAGTTTTTGTGGGAATATATGCTTCAAAACTTTTCCCATCTAATGCGTAGCTATGTGATCATTTTGCTGCAGGCCATCTTAACAGGGCCAAAACAGGGCTGAGCTGCGAGCTCCTAGACGTTGAGGAGTCATCGTGCCGACGATGGGAAAAATCCTGTGTTGGTGCGGACAACATTTTTATTGATTGCTGATTTTTACGCTGTGTAGTCTAGTTTAGTGGCAAGTGGCACGCGCACCACGCGCCCGTTGCGGGGGTCGAATCCCAAATCGGCTCTCGCTCAGGTCTTCCAAACCTTCTACCGTCCAGGGGCGGTGAATGGTGCTAGATTCGTCTGGGAGCATAAGGACACTGAGTTGTATATCGGCTGCCTCCGATTCAGTTGTAGGCCACATCCCATTCAATAAGTCACTGCGAAACAGAGGATACGAGGAGGACAGGAAACGATAGAGACATCCGTCAGTCCTTCAGAGAATTCACGCCGGCTGCGCCAATTGCATTTATATAGGAGCGTTGGCATAGCTTGTCGTCGGAGGGAGTCAAGCAAGCTTCTGGGGGGGGGGCGCGTTCTTCGGCTTTGACGATCAATTCGAGTGAGCTCCAAAGTGGGACAACCGCGAAGAATATTGTGTGGAATGTCTGAACAAGAAAGTGACTGTACCTTCGTGATCATGGAGGTGGTGTAGTGGCAAGCGGCATGCTTACGAGATACACGATCCCGGGGTCAACTCCTGGACCGGCTCGCACAAAAACCCAAACCTTCTTTCCTTCGGGTACGGTAAATTGCTACCAGATTCGTATGGGAGGATAAGAACACCGACTCGTACATCGGCTGACCCCCGCACGTCATTCTATGGGCAACATTGCATCCAATGTACCACTTAAAAGGTCTAGAATGTGCGCCGCATCCCAGAAGGGGATTGATCAGCGGCCAAGATCCTCATTCCTCTATCCTTATTAGGTCTTGAAGGTCGGAGTGGCAAGTTTTTAAATTGCATGAAGAGAAGTTACCTCACTGCCCCCTCCCCCACCGCATTTTATTTGGCGGTTCGTCAGTGTTCATGTGTAGACGTAGTAAAAAGAAGTATTTTGGTCTAGATGGAGAGCTCCCCACGAGCTCGACAGCGGTTTTTGGCATGTTTGAGGTGCTCCCATCAGGGAAGTCCGCCACTTACCATGAAACTTGGAATGGAGACCTGGTAGATCGATAGAGTCTATAAGGGTGTTTACAAATATAGATAGCAGAACTGCAACCTGCATTTCACGAGCAACATATGAGCAGGTAAAGTTTGTAATGGTGCAGTAGGGTGGAGGCTTGGTGGTGAGCTGTGAAGCATAGGCGAGGAATCGCAGGAAAATCGTGCTTGTGAAGCGGAAACGTTGGCCACTGGACCACGACCCGATTTGACGCATGCGAACTTCCGCTATTGTGTTTCACAGCCTCACGCATCAACCTCCACCCTACTGCACACATAACAAACCCATCTCCATTCGTAAGTTGGCGGACTTCCCTGGTCAGTGGAGGCAAGCCGTTCCGAGGAGGAGGGGAGCATCTGGCCCTGTCAAAATGCTTGCGTAAGATTTGTGATCTTCACGGATCTCCTTGATTTCTACAGAAAATAATCTATGCATTAATTGCAGGGCGTTGTGTCGAGAATGTAACGAACGCGAGAAGGCGGCCGGTTCCGGACGATATGTCTGCCATCGTTGTCACGCGATGATCGAGGAAGGGCAGCACATTAAATTCCGAGGCGACTCGTTCCATCCGTATCATTTCAAGTGCAAGCGTTGCAAGTACGTTACAATGAACTCTTCCAACGTTTCCGATTGCCCCAGATGTTTTTTTATTCGCTCATCGATCCTTGGGAGTTAGGCAAATCAAATGGGCACACTAACCCCTGAGAACCTTTGAGAGCGATCTCGAAGGTTCTCAGAGGGCTCAAATCCTTTGCGAGGAAAATGTTCACAGAAGCCTGGTGGAATCATTGCTAGCTAAGCAGTCTCTGTTCCAGTAACGAGTTGACAGTACAATCACGAGAAGTGGGCGGAGAATTGTATTGCCTACGATGTCACGACACTATGGGTATTCCGATTTGTGGAGCTTGTCATCGACCTGTTGAAGAACGAGTGGTGACGGCATTAGGGAAAAATTGGCATGTTGAGGTTCGTTTTTGGGACACAATGTTTGAACAGGTACAGTCCTCATCAAATACCCCTGGACCCTCGCAGCGAGAGCACGTCTGGTTGACAACAGCCCCGTAACCGTCCGCAATGATGAGGACTGTAGATATCTGGTCCATATCGTGGCGTCTGCGGATGGAGCGTCCATGATCTTCGCTTTGGAGGTGGCAGCCACCAACAGGCGGCCGTTGCACCACGCTAAAATAACCTCATTCGCTACGAAGCTGAGGCGTTTGGGGGACTGGCTTAGCGCGGCGCCATTCCGTTTACCACCAGTTGTTGAAGAGGGCAAGCTATATGAGAAGTGGTCGGCGCCGCGCCAAACCCTGCTTTCTGACACTCATCAGCGTCCAAAGGGAAGAAGACTGCATGTTTGGGAACATGCCGAGTCCAAGAGTAGCGCTATAGCTTGTAGATGTGAAACTCTGGAGGTCGCAAGATCACGGCCTTTTTGCAGAAAATCCCACAAAAGTGTGCTTGTCACCTGATTTCCCCCAATTTTTTGGGTTTAACACATTCCATCTGCTGAGGCTTACCTTGGGAACTGAGGCTTATCTACTGAGAAGTCTAGCAGGAGAACGCCAAGAAACGTAGAGGGCAAGAGGTGTGTGACAGAGCACTATAATT